AATTTTTAAACCCTTTTATACTCTCCTAAACATCTAAAACTAATGATAAATTGTGAACTTGTCCCTTTTATCAACTTTATTCTTGTTAGCTTTATTTTGTGCTCTCTATTAATTCTTAGCTAGAAAGCATTGCCTTTTGAAATGTTAAAAGTAAAGCAAACAAACTACTGAGATTCTTTTTGCGCTCTCTATTGCTTATGGGAATTTTGGTTTATAATCAGATAATAACAAAACAACAATGTGCTAGAGAAACAAACAAATGATTGAGGAATAAAATTATATATGGAATATAAATCTAAATCCTAACTAGCTATCTATATATAAAAAAATTGTACTAGTTACTAGAATAATTTTTTTTTCTATATAATTATAAATACACATACATAATAAAGCTTTTCTCCCTTTTCACATTTGTTTATATAAAAAGAAAGATGCATTCAGGATTTGAATATCCAATATTCACTGTTTTTTTGTTTTCACCATCCAAATCAAATGCAACCTGCCTTAGCTTCTTCTCTTTTTAGCCATTAATTCTCATCTTTTATTTGTACCTTTTTTTTTTGTTTTTCTACTTGGGTTTCGAGTCCACATTGAAGTCCCAACTAAATTCGAATCACAGCAAAGCTCATATATATGGCGGTGACGCTCCCAATGGAATTTCATCTTTTATTTATTCCTTTCACCTCTTCCATGAACTAATAATGTAGTGCCCATTTTTGTGTAATTTATCACGTCCACGTTCAATAATGAGTTGGCACATGATTCGTAAAACGGACAAACTAGAATTTTAATCGTTTTTTTTACTATAGAATTCAACCACAGTTTATTTTGTTTATTAATTGGGTTCGGAATCTATATTTATAATCAGAACCGATAAGAGGGTCAAGACATTAAAACAAGTCTGGGCTTTTGGAATTTTAATTTTGTATTTTTTACGCTTGTAATCGATATTTATATTGACATCCTCAATTAATTTCAAATTTGTGTTACACAAGATCGATTAAAGAGGGAAATTCTCCTTGGAAAGATTTTTTCCTTTATGAGGCTAGAATCGGCCAAGACCTCTGGCAAAGAAGTATGGGACCCAATTTTTCACTCCCTCTAAACCCTTACTATAAGATTATTGATAACTTCATATTTCAAAAAGCAAAAAGTAATATACTTAATAAGAATATATATGGTTTTTCATAAAAAATAATAAGACCCTCATTAAAATTTAATTTTAAACGATCGATCTTATTGAATTGCCTTTGTTTATAGTTATTTAATGAATATTTTTAAGCATGTGTACGGGGTTTGAGCCTAAGCTATTGATTTTGAATGAATCTATAATTTATCTTTTACAAATCGAAAAGAAAAAATCACATTAATTAGCTTTCATATTTCTTTTCCAAAAGAAAAATTTAAAAAGGAGAATACATTGAGTCAGTGTTTGGTTATGATCCACTTGTTATTTAACTCCATTCATTTTAATTCAAGAAAACTTAAAAAGACTCGAAACATGAATCGTTTATTAATTTAATCGCCTTTAATTCAACACGTTCATTTGACACAATTACATTGCCTGTTCGTTAGTACCAATGAGTACTACTTATTAATCTTGTGTTTCTCATGGTGTACTAGCTACATGAAAAACCAAACAGCATATCCGTACATAAACTTTGTCCAAGAACGTGTATGGTTGGGATTTGGGATGATATATCAAAATTTGGATCTTTCGATAAAAAGATATGGCTAAAAGCTTGATAAAGAAAGAGGAATATTGTAAGGAAATATGGCATCTCTGATTATTTGTTACTTTTTCGATATTTATTTTGAATTCCGATTAATTAATGTGATATGAATAATATGATGATGTAGGAATTGCAAAGGGAAGGGAATATATTACATATAGCATAAGTGGACAGGGAAGAGTAATTATTCCTTTGACCACCAATACTGTTTTTTCTTCTTTATATATATATATATATATATATTTTGTATTTACAACTTCTCTTCCAAGTTTTCTCCTTTAAAATTTGTAATATTAGCTACCTACACCACTTAATTTGCATGGATTCTCTCTTGGGACTGTGTTGATTATTTTCTTACTTTATTAGATTTGTTAAAGTTACCTTTGTATTTATTTAATATTATAATATAAAGTTACAACATGACTAATAACTACTTGTTCCAATTCAAAGGAATAATTAAGCTAAAATTATACTAATAGTTCTTTAATATATCCAGGTTAGATAGGAAGAGCCTTGCTAATTAATATGGATGGACTATGTTGTCTATTTGTTAACTGTTTTAGTGCAAATTAAATAGTCTAGTTATGCATATATATCCGTTCGGCCAACTACTTTATTGACATGATCGAAGTGTATATGTTGTATATAAATACGTACATATATTTCATAAATTAGTTGATCAAAGTGTTTAAGACAGTTAATTTTCCAATTAAATTTTAGGTGCTTAATCCAAAACTACATCAAAAGGTTAATCAAGATCTTAAGAGTGATTTAATTGAAGAAATTAAGTGGAACAATAGCCACCGTGATGTCTTCTCTCCATTATTTGCTTTTTTTAACGACGGAGGCATGATTTTCATCTCAGGGTTCAATATCGACCTATTTTATTTTAATAGAGCCTCGAGAATGACTATTTCTCAAAATTAAGGTGGGATTTTGATTTTTAAATCAAAGTTGGGGATGGAAATGATTTTCACTCATTATGTCAAAGAGATCGATTCAATAATTTCTCTCTATATACATATAAAAGAATTTATATTTATCCTATTTGTGTAAGTATAATTTTCAATGACGTGCACCTCTAATTACATTGTTAGTGAATATAAGTTAAAATACTTTGTTATTTTGTTTTTTTACGAGTGGGGTTGTGTACAAATATTCGTACAAAATATCTAGTGTACTTTTTTTTTTTCGTTTTGGAGGCAATGGAATAGCATGAATATGGTAAAAAAAATCAAATAATGGAAAAGTTATTTCCCTTTGGAATGTAATGTGGAGAATAAATTCTTCATTGTGAAGTTACTCTAAATGATAAACACACGACAATGAGAAGTGGTAGTGAATATACCACAGAATTTAAAAATATGGGTACATCCAATCAAAATGAAGAGGCATGGCAATTATTATATTAAAAAGTGTTTAATACTTAGCTGTATACTGATTCTGCTGATGATCATGAATTTCAAGCACATTTCTTATCATATTTTTATGAAGTTGACAGTCACTTACTTGTGGGATGCCCTATGATGATGATTCTCACCCTCATCTTGGACCCCATGATAACTTGTTGCATGTACTATATATCAATTTATTAATTCAGAATCCGTAAGGATGATTAAGTTGGTGCAACATGTGATATAGTATATATAACAAAAGTTAGACGTTAATTCTTTTAGTTGATCTAGTTAGTTGCACATGAGTTATCTAATACAGTTAACATTTTGTATGTGATTTGTAAGTTATTACACATAAACAAATTTAATAATACGCACCCGAAGAATAGGGACGGTAGAAAAAATAGTATTAATTTATCTCTTGATCCCTTATCTCAACAAATATGATACTATTCATTAATGAATTATCCCCACCTCATATAATTAAACTAATTAAGGGTCATGTAAATATGCGTGTGTTGTCAAAAGAGCCACAAAACGAGGAAATGATTATTTTTTTTACACTTACAAATTGAATAAAAGAAAATGAATAAAAGTAAATGATAGTACAAATTGAATAAAAGAAAATAATCGTACAAAAATTTACTGTGTTTTATTTGCACATTTTCTTATGTGTCTTGTGTGAAAAGAGGTTACACAACAAACAACCCTAACAAGTAATAAGAAAAGGGATGTGCTAAGACGTAACGACTTTCCGCCAGACATTAGCTTGAAAAATCAAATTTCTCTAAAAATACTAACGGTCTGATTGATTATGAATTTATATCTATACAAGTTTACAATGTTTTTATTAGTTTATTTAGTCGTATGTGCGGTTGATTATTGCTTACACTTAAGGTGCTTAGTGTTTGTAGAACATGTTAAAGAAACCATAAGCAAGGGACACCCTTGCTTCTTATCTTTCATACATTGTATGTCTCTGTTTATGAAAGAGCCTTTATAATACAAAGTTTATGCCAATTACAAAAAAGTGGACAATTTAATACAATATATTTTGCCATCACTATGTGCTGTTCTGAACCAATTTTGACACATCTAAAAGATATATCGAGCTGAAACATTGTAGGACATGATTTGTACATATAAGTTAATCTTAATTAATAACTAATCATATATTATTAAACAGGAGTTTGTGCTAGTGGCTGCTAATGTGAATGGGGATCCCATGAAACGGCCTAATCTGGCCTTTTTCTTGCTTTTTTGGCCCTTTATCTAATGACAGCATTATGGCATATAATGATGTTTAAGGGCATAAATTAAAGATGGCATGCTTCATCTGAAAGAAACCTAGATAAAGTAATGCTTATTATACATGCTGTGTGGAACAGGGAAACATGATCTTGTACCCATGAAAATGACACAAAGTTTGCTTTTTATTTAGAGGGTAACTTAATATATGTGTACATATTCTTTTAAGATCATCATTTCCTGATGAGCTCCAACCAGGAATTTGGCTCAATAAAGAAAGACCACAGGAGAAAATATGGGGTCAAAAAAAGTTGAAAGAAATAATAGAAGAATCATGCAGTTCATGCTTTGGGTAATGAATAGAATTGCATGCCATTCTCATTCTTTATCTGTTAATTTAGATCACATTTGCTGTGAATGGTAAAAACAAATCACAAAGCCTTTTACGCATGGTTTCAAGGCTTATACATGCCATGAAAATAATGTGCTCTAATGAAATTTTACTGTAACTTGTGAGATTTTGTCATCTTCATTCTTTTTCACAAAACAAAGAAAAATAGTCGTTCGGAGAGAAGGTTTTCTTTACTAACTATGGGGGCAGTAGAGAAAAGAAAATACAGGGATATTGAAATAGAACAATGAGTATTCTACAAAGGCTGCTGCCATAAAATCTGTACTGTTATTTTGACAAGCAATGGGTGAGAATAGGCACAACACTCATATCTACATTAATTATACAACCTCTGATCGCAGTTATTTAAAGATGAAAACTGGGATTTTAACAACAAAAAAAGGAAGTGTTATTGAAGTATACTAAACATTGAAAATTTGGAAGGAATCAACCACAGTGTGTAGTCTATCCTTCATCTTCCCCCATCTCCTCTCATTTGCACCAGTTGTCAATGTGTAGAACTTTCCTGTATTACGATTCACCATTCAAATTGAAATATTAGGAAGTTTATGCATATTCAAGTCCACGTAAAAGCAGAGAAGAAAGACAGTGATTTAAGACGCAATGAGTAGCAAAAACAATAGGAGGAGGGGATCAGGATACACATAACATGGAACCAGGGAAGTCTTGGGCTGACCGGCATTAACCTTGCATTCAAATTAAACAATGGCAAGTTTCTCGTAAGTTTAATACATCCATGAGGTCATCACTATTATATCTTACCATACAGTTGATTCTTGGTGCATGAAAGATTCAAAATTATAGATACAAAGCACTCAGGCTGGGCAGATAAACAGAACAAATATAGCAGTTGATAGAAGTAGTTGTACTGCATATATAATACAAACTATTGAATGCATCAACATTTTAGTTTTAAGGGGTTTGAACTCTCTTCCAATAATTCACTTCTTTCTTAGTTATCCCTGAGGGGAAAGAAGGCCTAATCTACTAGCATGCTGACGACAAAGACAGTCACTGATGGCAGATCACTTGCATGATTCATGAGTTTTGAGGTAGAAGTAAACTAATAAACCTTATTGTCGATGTAGATAAATCTATCTATATATGTTATCATATTATCCTATATGAGGATATAGGAGACTAAATCAGTTCTTGCTAAGTTGACGACTCTGCAGGTTAGGAAAAATCACTGCATGTCATTTTTCAGGTTCAGAGGAATGTCTCGAGATTTAAATTAGTGCATCTTTCAAATAGTTAGTGCTTAACTACAATAATTTAAGAACTTGCAGGTAACCAAGTTCTATTCCAGAACCAAGCCAGCGATGTAGAACATTCTCCATAGCATGCACATCATCAATTAAAACCTAAGATACAATTCATACCATTGCCAATGCAGACTACAGTGAGGGCATGCCGAGTATAATTTGGGGCTTGTGCAACAAACTCGAACGTGTAATAGGTTTTTCCATCAACGATGCGCTACAAAATGATCAGACAATGATCCCGAAATAAATTTAGATACATCCAATGGTTATGTAAAAGCTGATATTAGATAATACAAACATGATAAAAAGTAAAGAAAATAATAGCTCGCAGAGTTGTGCAATCACGTGATGAATCTTATCCCAGTTCTCATTTTACTAAAAAATCCATGATGTCCTGAGTCAGTAGTGCGCACCAGGAAGATGCTTATCATTTGGCAAAAACAAATGCCAAGCCTCACCAGTTCTTATGAAGAATCTATACACGGTTGAAGTAAAGGAGGTAGAAAGTGAAGCTGTTTACTGGCAATATCAAAGTTCCATGTGCATCAGATTAACTGTCTTTCCTTGATAGGCTAAAACTTTATTCCCTTCATTAGTACAAAGGTGAAAAGACGAGCTAGATGATTAAATTATATTATGACTCTCACCTCATGACTGTGAGTTAGTCTCTCTCTCTCCTTCATTCGTTGGGAGTTGTGTAGGTTGAAGTTTTTATCATTTTAAAAAAAAATCTCATTACCTCCGGGAAAGACTGCAAAAGGGAGAAGAACTGGGTGGGATTACTTGTCATATTTCCTAGTGATATATTCAAATATGACAATGAGATGATCAGTACCAACATATAGAAATAAGTTATCTTGTAATAGCTAAATGCCATTTCTAATAATGACAGCAGTGGCAGAAGTAGCTTAACTTTACTCCAGTGAAACTAATCTAAGCAATTTATGACCTCAATCCAAGAATATCTAGAAATTGAATCATAACATCGTTTATCTTACATGATACAAATTGTCAATAGCTGATCCTTAGTAGATATAATTCAAGATCTCATATAGTAACTAGTCCTTTTTAGTCTAGTAATTTTATCCAACGCAAGATGGTTTTTAATATTTTCCAAGAATTGTGAAGTGGTTGGCATTTAAAACTAATTAGGAGGACAACAGACTCATGACGGCTAAACTGCAATTAATTGTTAATTATTTGTCATTTCTTGGTACTAATCCAACAAAAAAAAAGGAATCATTCCTTGGTAGAGATTTGAAGAGAGACCGCTTTTTTGTAAACCAAAATTTTTCCTATACTCATGCTCTCTAAATAGACCTGAGTGCCACTAGAGAGCTATGAGAAAATTGGAACACAGGTCACCAGTCAAAGTAGTGCACAAACTCATATATGTCACAACATGAACTGTAAAAAGATGGAGAGAAATATATGCTTTTCAAAGCAAAGTTGAAAACTTCTGAATTGGTTTACCTAACTAAAACTAGAAAATTTCAGGACTAACTGCTACACAGAATTAGACCGATTATGTTGTACGGGGTGGGGTGTTGGCCCATCTAGAATTCGCTTGTTCAGAAGATGAGGGTAGAAGAAATAAGAATTTTTAGATGGATGTGCGGGCATACTAGAAGTGATAAGTACAGGAATGAAGATATACATGGAATGTGGGAGTAGCTGTCGTGGTGGACAAGATGCGGGAAACGAGATTGAGAAGTTGGCGGCGATAGGTCTGAGGAGAGGTAGAGGTAGACTGAGGAAGCACAGGGGAGAGGTGATTGTACAAGACATGACACATCTGCAACTAACCGAGGACATGATCTTAGATCGAAAAGCATCAATGTGGAAGATAGTGTTAGACGATTAGTAGGTAGTAGAGTGTTTTCTTTGCACAGTGGTAGAGCAGAATTCCAGTATAGAACATCTGTATGTACCCTTATCTGATTATTACTATTATACTAGCATTAACTTATGCTTCAATTTTGTTACTGATATTCCTTTCACTTGGGTTATCCTTAATATACTGTTACTACTTTTCTTTTTTTCAACATCTTCATCTTAGCCTTTTACTCTTGCTTCTCTTTCAAACTTTCTTTGAAAAACGATTTCCTTGAGCCGAGGATCTATCGGAAACTGCCTCTCTACCTTGAGCATTTCACCATCCCCAGACACCAGTTGCGGTAATGTACTAGGTATGTTGTTGTTGTTGTAAACTGCTACACAATGAGGGGGGGAAAAAGATAGGAAGTATAAAGAAGAAGAAATAATTGCAACTTGACTTCTGTGAATCGACCATATTAACATTTTTACCTCTTGTTTTAAGTTCATTGGAAACCGCAACAGAGGCTCCCCACATTGTAACTTTAAATCATGTTCCTTCTAACATAAGTAGCACTGAGCTAACAATTTCTTTTTTGCTTCTTGTATTAAGTTCAAGGATCCAGAGAAAACAAATTACTTAAACAAGCTTCAGACTAAGATTTAGTTGTTGTTGCATCAATGTAGCTACACGATACATAAGGTTTCTTTCTTGTAAGGTCGAATGGATTTTTTTAAGGGCATAAAACATCAAAATATGTTGACCACATGATTCAATCCAGAAGGAAGATATATAAGTGAGTTACATCAAAGCTGCTAAGGCTCTGAAATGTTTATTCAACAGTAACACCAATGATAGTTCAGCATGACAAGCAGTCAAGGATCAGTTACAAATTTTCAGTAATGGAAGAAATATCAAAATACACACCTCTGATGCTTCAATTAGTTTTGTTTTCTGAGAAGGCGATGCTAAAAACTTTTTTATTAAAGTTTCAGCAACCTGCAATACGAATAGTTTCTGGTTAGGACACATTCATGAGTGCCCACAATCAAGAAATCCACCTGAAAATCTAAGTTTCCATTGGGCAAAATAATCCAAACAGTTACATGAAGCCTTTTGCATGTAAATGTCTGTGATAAATGATCTAGCATTTTAACAAACCTGTTGTGGCGAACCAAAATCCCGTATGTCCTCTTTACTGCTTGGTACCAAATTTACGCTAGCACTTTCTAGTGGTTCAATAACATCTTTGAAAACTTTATCTTCACCTTCAACAACGACTTCCTGGGTAAGGGTAGAAAATGAATAAAGAAACAGTTAAAGAAAAAATTGTATCAATGGATAAGACAGGTTTAATTTATAAGGGGGTTAAGTGATTCAGAAATTTGCTAAAAAAATTAATTAAATTCTATAGAAGGTGACTAAATTTATTTTATGGAGTGAAGATCTGAAATTGCTAAACCCACAAATGCAGCTCCATACTCCTGTTTCCCAAGCAAACTATTTACACAACTATGACATTAGAACAAAAGACAAACGTAAAAGAAAACCAACAGAGAACATTATAGTCATTAAGTGAAGAATGACCTGCCACCCAAAAGGATAGAGGAAAGAGTATCCATCCTTCTTGTCCGTGACAGGCAGAAATCCCTTCTTATTTTCTGCAGCAACTGAGCCATATCAAAGGGTGTACTCTTAGGATACCAGTCATTAAAATTTAAAGAATCAACAAGATACATGAATGGAACTGTGACTCAGAAATGCATCACAACTTCATTTTGTCAAACATTAAAACAAAAGTATAGGGAATTAACAGGGTAAGATGCCGCATAAAGACTTTTACATGATGTTGGTATCTGAGAAGTCATCAGCAGCAATGGGGCAATTGTTGGTCCCACTGCGAGAAATTGACGCCTCCCAAGTCTATCTGTAAGGAAACGTATAGAGGAAAATAGTGACTGGTCCAGCTTTGGTGCCAAAATGTCAATCAACATGGGACAAAATCATAAACTGCCAGCACTATTATAATCAGAACGAGAGCCTATAATGAGCATATCAGTATCTGGGATGACATTTAATTCAAGATAAGAGAACTCAAACAAAAGGTCATCCAACAAACAACATCCCAGTTCATGAATGCAAAGGTGTTAATATCAACCAATTCATGCATTATTACTAAATGTTTGTCCTTCAAATTAGAATTAAATTTACTTCAAATTCTTTATAAGACAGCGATGTTGGGCTCATTTTTCTTCATCATTAAAAATCATTCCTCTACCTGGAAGATGATTCCATTTATGCTCATCAAAATAGCAGGTTAAAGTGAACCGAGTTAACATAACCATATAAAAACTAGTGGAGATTACACTATTGAACTAAACATCCCTGCTTTTTTCAGCATAAGACTGTTGTTCACTCAGTTTGATGGGATCCCCCACAGAATTCTATAGGAACTAAGAAACTGTGTACTGTTCCTTCACTTTACCTATGACTGTCATCATAAAACTAGAAAAAAAATTAAAGACATCCTCTGAGTAAAGTCATTGAACTTTAAAGTTAAATGCACAGTCACATTACATTTCTTTAGTCAAGGCCTTCTTAGATAATAACTAATTTGACAGCTCAATCGGACTCTGTTACAAATTCGAAATTAATCTAACCTTGGCAAGGGGAAGTGGAAGTTTCAGTCACATTCTCTGACCTGATAACACATCCAGGAGCCCTACGGTTGTGACCACTCCTAAACCACCCCAGTTGATGCATCACATCCACCTTTATAAGTGAAAATGAACTTTCAAAATTGAGATACATTGTCAATGCTAAGCAAGATGGAAGAAGAATCCGAAATGATACCTGAGATGAAGATGCATTTGGCAAGTACGCCTGACATGGAGTGATGTAATTTTGAACTAACACCATCTCTCAAAATCCTAACCAAAAACTGCGAAATCACAAAAACAAATACACACATTGTTTAGCCAATCAAAGTTAAATGAGTAGAGTAAACATCTCAATTAGGTTTTTATACTCAAATGCTTTCCAATTGAATTCTCAGAAAACAAATAATCAACACAATCAGTGGCTCTAGTATCCAGTATGTTCTACGTGCTTTTTACGACGGCAAGGAAGTATAATATGGAGAAAAGCATGAGTAATTGATACAGTTACCGTACAATGTCGCTACCGGTGAAGAAGCGTCGGTTGCCGGGAGAAGAAGACAGTTGGTTTCAGTTTATGCAATCTTCACATCATCCAATATCTCCCTCTCAAATCTCAATTATCCACCCACCTCTCCTGCACTCCACCCATTATTATCATATAGGAGAAAAGACTTAAATACCCCTATAGGTTATCAACTTTTTTTCTCTTTCTCAAATTTAAATAGAGTAAAATAATATTATTATCTTTATTTACTTATGGAATAAATTTGAGCTTACTTTTGAATGTAAATAATCGAAAATTAAACACGTAAGTTAATAATGTTGAATAAAGAAAAAATAAGCATACCACGAATAAATTTAACGATGACCATTACAACTCAAATATATATATATATGCAATTGGATATTTGTTAGATTGAAAGTCTACATACTACAAAACACAATTATTATAAAAGAAGAAGGTAGATATATAAGAAAATATATTCATTTTAACCAATCAAAATTTACCGTTCTAATAAAATTTAGTTAGCTACAATCAAAAACTATACAAACAATAAAGAGTAAATGAAAGAGTGGTAACAAATTTACGAAAGTTTCCACTTGTTGCCTTCCCTTTAGGGATGACAATGGGGCAGGTTGGGGCGGGTGTGGGGCGAGTAGAAGTTTAACCCGCCCCGCTCAACATTTTTTTCTATTCTTAACCCGCCCCACCCCGTCTCACTTATGTTATATTGATTTTTTTTCTTTTCTTTATTATGTTATTTGCTAAAACAGTACACAAATTTAACTTTTATTATATTTTTTTAACGGTGAAGATCTAGTTTAATTATATTTCTTAGTTGTTGTTTTGTCAAAACACACCATTTTGTTAAAACAGTAGTGACTCGTGCAAATAGACTAACAGTTAAGAATCGAGAGTTTAAGAAAAGTGAGAAAAATATTTCAATCCTCCACCCGCTCCGCCCCGCTTAATTTCTTAAAAATATTAGTCCAATCCGCCCCACCCCGCAACTTCCCCACATAAGGTTAAACCCGCCCTGCCCCGCATAGACTTAGACCTGTCCTGCCCCGCCCCATTGCCATCCCTACTTCCCTTTTGACCCTTAAGGATTGACTAGTTGGTTAGGTGAGTAGTTTCGCCCATGGAAACACAATAGATTTGCTAGTGCATTTTATATTTTTCGCAAAGTTTGTGAGCTATCTTTCGTATAGATTTATGAGTAAACACAATATAAATATCACTAGTTTGGGAGTAACTTACTTTTATTAGAATTCGAACTTAAACTTGTATCTTGTTTGCACTTATCTAGATATATGTTTCTCAGATACATGAAATCTAAATTAGGTGTAATTAATTTTAGATACAATATATTCACATATATTTAATTCTCTCGCTTGCCTCTCTCATCTCTCGCTTACCTCTCTTCGTCTATATCTGTATTTCAAAATGTATCCAAAATTTATCTGATATTCCAAATAGCTATTGTGGATATATAGACCTTCTCGCTTGCCTCCCTCCTATCTTGCTCGCCTTCCTCATACTTCGCTCGCCTCTCTCCCTATGAATTTTGTTTTTCAAAATATATCTAGTAGCAATTGTTCATGTATCTAGGTGTATCTTAAAAGGGAAAAGGTAGAAGTACCTCCCTAGACTATAACCCAAATCCCAGAGACACACCTTAACTAAACTAAGTTCCTATTACCCCCCTAAATTCATTTTTTTTGTAATTTTGTACACCTTTTTGATTTACGTGGCATCCAAATATCTCTCATGCGCCTCAACTGCGTGGAGTCACGAGGTGTGCCACATAAGACAAAAGGTATACAATATTATATATAAAATGAGTTCAGAAAGGTAAATATGAGCTTAGTTTAGTTAAGATGTTTCTATGAGATTTCGGTCATAGTCTGGGGGGTACTTGTGTCTTCTCCCAACTTAAAATTTGGTGAAAATTATTAACTAGCGAAATGATATATCATTTATTCAAAAAATAACTAAAACTAGTAAATATGATAGAAATATTTATATAATTGAGCATATTTTCCTAGATTTACCCGTGCGCACCCGAAATATAGCAATTGTAAGTTGGGGAGAAGTACAGAAAAACTAATTACTATTTGTGAAAGACCCGTCAATTTTCATGTTACCCGGAAGGCCCAAAACCGAAAGACAGAGCCCAGACCCGCTGTAGCAGTAAGAGAGGGTTTAACACTCCACCATTGCCGTCGCCGCCCTTTCCTTCTGTCACTCCACACACTGAAAATGCGTCGAATCACCACCCCATCAACACTCCGGACACTTCTCCGTCGCTGTATTTCTTTGTCGGCGACCAATCAAACCCACCACCTTCCCTGTTCCCAGTTATCCCTTTCCAAAACCCAGTTTTTCACTTCACCACTTCCCCATTATGATTCATTTTCATTTTCGCACTATTCTACCAGTTTCAGATCATTCTCATCCCAACCCGAAAGGGATCAAGAAGAAACAACCGCTCAGTCTCTTTCGTCTGAGCTTGTTAAGGAGCTCGATGCGGAATCTCTATCAATTCCACAAAGTTTCGATCTTTCTTTCTCCCATGTCAATTTGACTCCTTCCCTGATCCTTACCACACTCAATCTTTCCCCAGATGCAGGACGAACAGTATTAGGGTTTTTCAAGTGGGTTAAGTCTAAGGAAAGTTTCAAGGTCGATGATGAGGTTGTGTCGTACTTTGTGGATTATTTTGGTAGGAGAAAGGATTTTAAAGCTGCCCAGGATGTACTTATTGATGGGATTGGGTTAACGGGAAGGAAGACGTTAGAATCCATGATTGATAGACTTGTAAGGGCTGGAAGATCCACTCAGACAGTAGCATTTTTTGAAAATATGGAGAAAGATTATGGGTTAGTGAGGGATTTGGATTCTTTGAAGTTGGTAGTTTCTAGGTTGTGTGAGCATGGATTTGCTAGCTATGCTGAGAAAATGGTTAAAAGTTTGGCTAGCGAATTCTTCCCGGACGAATATATATGCGATATGCTGATAAGGGGTTGGTGTATTGATGGGAAACTTGATGAGGCACAGCGGTTAGCTGGGGAGATGTATAGGGGAGGGTTCGAAATTGGGGCTTCAGCTTATAATGCAATACTTGATTGTGTTTGTAAGCTGTGTAGGAAGAAGGATCCTTTCAGGCTTCAATCTGAGGCAGAAAATGTGTTGCTAGAAATGGAAGAGAAAGGTGTTCCTAGAGACGTGGAAACCTTTAATGTTTTGATTACTAACTTATGTAAGATTAGGAAAACAGAGGATGCTTTGAATCTGTTTTATAGGATGGGGGAGTGGGGTTGTAATCCCGATGAAACAACGTTTCTCACTCTTATTAGGAGCTTGTACCAGGCTGCAAGAGTTGGAGAGGGTGATGAAATGATTGATAGGATGAAATCTGCAGGATTTGGGGATGCGCTTGATAAGAAGACCTATTATGAATTCTTGAAAATATTATGTGGGATTGAAAGACTGGATCATGCTATGAGTGTCTTTGCAAAGATGAAGGAGGATGGTTGCAAACCGGGGTTAAAAACGTACGACTTGTTGATAGGAAAAATGGTTGCTCATAATCGGGTTGACAAAGCAAATGCACTATATAAGGAAGCCGAGAGCAATGATTTGGCAGTTGAACCAAAGGCCTATATGGTGCACCCAAAATATGCAAAGAAGAAATCCACCCCTGCCAAGAAGGAAAAGAAGAGGGAGACGTTTCCAGAGAAAATGGCTAGAAAGAGGACAAAACTAAAGAAAATTCGCCTTAGTTATGTGAAGAAACCTAAAAAGATGGCCCGGCGAGCATTTTGATCCCTTCTGTATTGGATGATTTTGAGCGAGATTTTCCAATGGTATGTTGACAGTGTTTCCCCCCTCATTTTGATAAGTCTTGACCATACTAGAAATAAAATTTTGGTTTACAACAATGCTCTCTCCTTTATTTTTATCTTTAAATTTGTAACTCATGAATGAATTTATATTTTTGTATCTCATGAATTGATTTAGGATTATAAATTCTGAATGTGTCTATTCTTGCTACTTCGTAATGATGCCTACAGAACAAACTTGCCATCATCTCTCCTTAACATATAGTAACATTCTTATATACTTTGGATGAACTTGAGTTGTATGGGTTCTCGTTTGACGGATAAATCTATATAACTTGTGACTAGATTAATTGGCAGTCCTTGTTGAATTAATTGTGCATTTGTCTGTATGTGCACACATATATTGTATTGGTTTATTTGAGTTGGATGCAAGAACAGGAGTACAGGACATTCAAAATAGATTGTTGTGCCCTCTAGTCTAAAAGCTGTTTCTTCTAGCATATCTTGCGCATTAACTCTCTTCTCTATGCTGTCAATTAGAATTGTTAATTTACTACTCTGATGCAAAACTCAAATCCCAGATGTCCCTCATGGTGCTTCATCTTTGGACAAGACTTGTGAATGTGCTGGGTTGAATTAGATTCTTATTACGAAAGCAGGAGTTCCACCAAAGACTTAGAATTCTTTCTGTCTGAGGCACTTGAAAAGTGTTATCTGCAAAATCAGTAAGTACTTTGGAAGAGGGAACTGATTATTTGCATAATATTCTCTGTATTTGCCAACTCTATTGAAAACTTAGGTCATGTGTTCTTGCTATATAAGATTACTCTATATCCCTGCCAATCAACAAGGCTGAGGTTTTCCTAGTATCATAGACATTTTGTTTTGTTACATTAACAGAATTTGCCCTTACAAAGTAGACATGTGGAGTCAAAATCGAAATACATCAGTTAGTAGTCATTCATCTTCACATGTAAACGGATTACCTTAACTGGAAAAGAAGTGAACAATGAGACTGAACGGATGAAAATGGTAAACCATTCTACATGATGTGGTTGAGTATAGTGATTATGCTTGGCAGATTATTGTGGACAGACTCTTATATGGTAGAAGAATCTGAGTAATGACTCAAATACAAGATTTGAGTATAACAAAATTTTCGATTTAGTGTGATCACAATATTGCAACTTTAAGCATAACTTCCATTTCTGCTTGGTTGTGGTTGTGTGGAGTGATGTACTGAACTTGGCTGTAATATTCTATGGTGTTCTTTATGACCGATAA